ATAAAAGCTGTTTGAAAAGGGAAAATGGAGCTGCAAACAACATTCCTCCCTGACTTCTGCTTTCCTGGCAGGAGTTCAGGAGAACATTGGATATGGCAGGTAATCTGCCTTTTTTTGCCACTAATAGGGCAAGCAAGATTGCGCTGCCCATTTCCTGATTTTAACATCAAGTCAGGGAATATTAAGTATCTTGTAAAATTGGAAATTGTCTTCATCAGAAGTGTCTAACATTAAGAATGAAGAGGTAATTATTGAGATATAACAACCAGATCCAGTCTGGTACAATGCATATGCCCCAGTCTTGTAGTTTAATATGCTCATATCCAGCACAGCTGGAGGCCACCGGATTCTATAAAGCTTATATTGCAAGTATAGCTTGTCCTGGGTTTATAGGATCATAGAACTGTGGGATTGGAAGGAACCACAAGGATCTTTTAGTCCAACCCTCTGAATGTTCTAGGAAACAACTAAGCTATCTTTGAAAAGTGGCTCTCCAAGTTTCTTCTTAAAAACTTCCAAAGTTGGAGAACCCATAACAGATCTAACCAGCAGGAAGTTTTTTATTATGTTTACATATAAATAGGCAGCTGCAACTTATAGCTATTATTTCTGGTCCTAGTTTCTGTGGCAATAGCAAAGAATTCCTTTTATGCACCTGAACATAAGGTCTCCCCTTAGTGTTAACTTCTCCAGACTGAACATCCTAAGTTGCTTTAGCCTGTTTTCATAGGGCATGTCTTCAAGTTCCTGTATGATCTTTGTTGCTCCCCTCTGAACCTGTTCTGTCAATATCCTTCTGAAAATGCAGTGCTCAATACACCAGTTATGGTCTTGCCAGTGCAGAACAGAGGGGAGTAAGGACTTTGATACAATGTTTCTTCTAATGTAGTCCAAAACTGCAATAGCCCTTTTAGCAGCTGTCTCACACCCCTGGCTCATGTTACTGGTCATTAAAGACCAGGACCCCACTGATTAGGGCTCTCTGACTCAAAGTAGAGCCATCAGTGCTGAATTTTCAGTGCAGTTAGCCAGTCAGTTATGGACCCACCTTACCATAGAGCCACCTAACCACATGTTAATATTTTGCTAATAAGAATATCTTGTGGAACTTGTCAAAATCTGTACTGGAATCAAGGTAGATTATATCCATAACTTTCCCCTTGTCCACTAAAATAGGTACTCTGTCAAAGGAGACAAGATTTCTCTCATGTGACCTATTTTTGACAAAGCTAACAATTATATTGCCTTCAAGGTGCTTACAAATGGTCTACTTTATCATCCTCTGTAATGTCTTTCCAGGTATTGATATTAGGGTCACAGATCAATTATTACTGGGATCCTCTTCTTTTTCTTTTTTGAAGAGAGGGACCACATTTGCTCTTCCCCAGTCCTCTGACTGCTCCTCCAGGACCTCTTAAAGAGAACTCAGAGACATCCCGACAGCTCTTCAGACGGTTCCTCCAATATTCTAGAGATACTTCATTAATGCCTGTATGAAGGTGTTCAAATTAGCAAGACTTTTTCCCACATCCTTACTAATTTGCACCCTCCCTATTGTGTTTGTTCCCAGTCTATGCCACTCAAATCACCATTTCCTGTGAATGTAAAGACAGAGGACTGCTTTATAAACACTTTAAATGATGTTGTGTAATAACAGATGTCTCCATTCAGTTTAATGTAACTTGTATTTAAAAGCTGAAGAAAAACCTCTTTTTAATTCCATCATATTACATTCCCTACAAATTTTGTTCAAGTATAAAAGAATTACAAGCCCTCGTAAACAAATGGAAGTCCAAACAGGAAAATCAAGTGAGAAAGATTTCCCCCCTAAAGCTTTATTTAGAAAAAAAATGAAGTATTAGACAGAAAGAACTACATTAAGAGGAAAGTATTAGCAGTGTGTGCAGCAACAGGAAAAGGCCAAAGATGAGAGAAAGAGAAGATGAAAAGCAAAGTTTTAACAAGCTAGAATTGGAAGAATAGAAAAGTACAGAAAAGCAAAGTATAAAAAATAAAAAAGAGTGAAAGATTTAAAGATTTAAAGACTGTAGGATTTATTTCATCTAGTAGTATCCACTTTTTCAGGTGCATAAAATGTAATTCCTTCCCCCCCAACCCCTCATATATAATAACAAACAAAAAATAAAATTGAAATTGAAAAATACAGTATGTGACAATTACTTTAAAGGCATATGTAAACAAGAATTCATTATACAAACAATTTAGTATTGCTGGGTTAACGTGGGTAGTAGAATAAAACATAATGATTCAGGTCAGAGCTGGTACCATTGAACTTTTTAAAGAAGTTATTGTTTATTCTTCTCAATCAAAACTGAAATTTGTTTTATTTAGCATATAGAAATTCATTGTTGGCAGATGGTAGCTAAAAGGATGTCAAAGGATAAGCAGAATGAATTCTTCACATCAATTCTGAATTAGGTTGCATTAGTAGGTCTTGTAATACCAATACCTGGGAGAAAACAGGGTCAAAATTGTGGATTTATTGCAGATCCTTGTGTATTTTGGGCAATCTCGTTGCAAATGAGTAGCTATTTTAGAATCCAATGCTGACTGTAAACAAAGACAGACTTACTGCCCAAAGTGTGTGAGAGGAAATAATACACTGGGATGGATTCTGTTGACCATATAATACTTTGCCATTTTCTTTTCAGATCTGGTCACACACAAAATTACTTTTGCTTACCAATGTGCCTTTTTTGTGGGGCTGGTTTGAAAGTATGGATATTGTAATCTAAGAAATGCTTTGTTGGTAAACATTAAGTTTCAAGTTCTGCCTGACAAGCAGACTGGCTCGTAGGGCCTAATTGGAGATGTGTGTGTGTGTGTGTGTGTGTGTTTGTTCTGGGTGGAAGCTACAAACATAGATGGACACTCCTGCAGTGATGCTTAAGTGCCCATCTTCTAATTGCATAGTACTAGCAAGAAAGTGAAGTTGCTTCAAAGACAAGACTAATATTGAAATTTTAGACATATAGGATTATTAGAAAAAGGAAACAACTAAATTTTAGCCAAGAATAATGGAATTAATGAACAGAATAATAAACTAAGGAATAATAAAATAATAAAAATAATCAACAAGATAAATTAACCATGCAGACAATTAAGAACTGAATTTGAGGGGATATTTTAGAAGAGTCAATTTGAGATAGATATATTAGAATTTTAGCAGTTGTTCCCTAGGTAACTGCATGATACCTTCACAATGCATGCAAAGACAAAGAAGAGGAAGAATCAAGCAGTACACTTAAATTATAATGCATGATATTCAATTAATGTTATTGAAAGAGAAAAATGAAAGTTAAAACTTAGGAGGAAACCAAGAAATAGGACATTTGGAGAAACTGCAGAGCATAAATGGTGGAAATGGAGGAATAGAGAAGTAAATTTGAATAAGGAAGAAAAAATGTGTTACAAGGGAGGATATTAAAAAAATACCCAAGGGCAGATCCTTTAAGAACAAAAAAGCAGAATGGACCCATGTTCAGGCATTTTGAAAGACTCTCCAGTGAAATTTTGTCTGTTGGTTGGAAATTCCCCACCTCAGCATTACAGGAAAAGAAAAATGAGGCTGGATTAGCAACTTAATGAAAATAGTGGAAGGAGAACATTTTAAGAAAGTATGATTTTTTTGGAATATAATAATTCCTTGTAGTAAATATATCAGCAAGTATCTCCAATTTATCAATAGCAACATTTACATATAAATCAAACATTTAGAATCCCTGACATATACTAATTTAAATGTACATTTCTATTTGTGTACTTAAATCACCCCAGTGTATACAAGTAACCCAATTCATTTTGTCCCCTGCGCTATTTTGAATCTGGCTGCAGTTGATAACCATGAGATTCTAGATTCAGTCAACATACCTGTTCACTTTCTTCTCATAAAGACTACCTGCTGGATACAGCAGCAAGAAGATTACAACAGTAGAAAGGATCCAAATGCCCAGATGTAGCATACTCTGCCTCTTCCTTCATTTAAACAGACTACAGCAAAATCAAAATAATTTATCTTGTAATGCATTGGAATACTGTCTACAACAGCACTAACATTTTACATTAATGGTTCAATTGGCAAAAATATGAACTACTACTGAGACCATGGTCCAGTTGTAGCTGGCATGTGTTTTGCCAGGCTTCTCTCAGCAAACTCTAGAACTGGAAGCAGGTTTAGGCAGGCATTCAAGGACACAGGTCTCTGATAATTAAGTTTATTGCAAAAGGAATGAAACAGTTACAAAAGAATTCCAGTGACTGCTGTGTGTCAAATGGAGGCCCAATTTATAGCAAAATCAAGGTTAAAATTCTTGCTAGTTTTCCTCCCTCTGGTGTGATGCAATGGGTTGAAAGCTGCTGTCCCTTTGGGTGGGAGAGAGAGTTTTGACCTATCTCTTATTATAAGACTAGCCTAGTTACAAGCTGTTTGACTATGACCTTGTCAGAAGTAGCTGTCACATGTTATGGAGAAAGTCCCAAGGTCCAGCAAAACCAGTGTCAGGTAGCTGAAGTGGGCAGTGCCTTACCTACCTTAGACCTTTCCAGAATCACCATCGGCTGTCCAGGGGGGAGGATAGAGACACAGAAGGCACTTTGCTTTGTGTCTCACTCTGAAAGCTCCCCTGCCTTAGTTTATCTGGGGTACCACTAGCCTCCGCTCCATCCCTTTGCCATTGCTCAGCCCCCCACACCCCTCTGTCCTTATAGGAGTTGGCTATAAAGCCTTAGCATCCTATCTGGGATTGGAGTTTTCAACTCTTTGGGCAATTTTGATTGCTGTCAATAAGCAATATTTGATTTTTTATGTGTGGACTTTTGAGTCAGTGTTGACTCCATGGCAACTGCCTGGAGAAGCCCCTGCAGTTTTCTTGGCAAGATTTTGGAAGTGGTTTGCTATTAGCTTCCTCTTAGGGCTGAGAGAGAGTGACTGGCCCAAGGTCACCCAGCTGGCTTTATGCCCAAGGCAGGACTAGAACTCAAGTCTCCCGGTTTCTAGCCTGATGCCTTAACCAAAGATTTTGCTTCCTGCAAGACAGGTTCTTTAATGCAGTTACACAGAACAGCGAGTCTCTTTGTGCGCGTGCATACAATATTAAGGCGTCAAGTGATCTGAGAATGAGTAGCACCTGTCAGGACTGCAACAGGAAGCAGAGGTTGGAGGGAATGAGGGATGTCGCAGAGAGCTCTAAGTCGATAGCGCTGCCAGCCACCAGTTCGTAAGGACGAGGAGCTTCTTTCGGAACAGCCCCAGCGACTCTCTTTCGCAGAGCGCAAAACGAGAAGGCAACGACAAAAAGGCTGCTTGCCAGCCGCGAAGGTTGTCTGGCGAGTGCTCTGGAGAAGGGCGAAAAGCGCGCGCGAGGGTTTCTCCTCGCCCCCTTTTTAAGCCTGGAGAGAAGATCAGGATAGACTCCTCGAGCATCCCCAGAATCAGAGCCCCAAAGATTGGAATGACATCAGCTGTTCGTCTTCAAAAAGACGCTGTTCTATTGGCTGACTGGCAGAGCTTTCTTGGCGAATGAGCGTGCGGCAGGGCTGCAGGCCGGGCTGGCTGACGTGCGAGCTCCAGTCACTTTGCCGTATGGGGGTTTATTTTGCTTTGGGCCACTCCAGCCGCCGCCATTAGGCGAGCAGGGATAGGTTACGGGGTGGCGGGATCGCCTTCGCTCGTCCTTTGACTCCCCCTCCCGTTTGGGTGGTAGCGTCCTTCGACTAACTACGTCCTTCGAGCCACCCAGGAAGAAACCATGTCCTGAGCCGGGGGGGAGCAGGAGGCCGCAACTAGCCGCAGCTTGCGGTGCGGCGCAGTGCATGGGTGGGTGGGATGTGGATGAGGGGCACGGGCGGCAGCTGCTGAGGAGACGGTCGCGGGATCCAGGGACAGCCTTGCAAGGTACGGAAGCTTTCCTTTCCTTTCCTCAGCCGCCCTGCGATGGGAGGGATATAATGCTTACTAGCCTTTCGGAACTTGGACAAATTCCCTCACATCGAACCCCTCTTTTAAATCCCCCCGTCCGGGTTTGAACGCGAGGCAGTTCATCGATCAAGGCTATGGAGTTTCCCCTTGGAAGGAGCGGAGGCGAGGCGTCCGGTGGCACTTCAGGGAAGGGAGATTAACTCCTTGATCCCTTCTGTTCCTGGATCTTACCTGAGTCCTGGGCCTTTCTCACGTACCACTCCTCCATACCCCCGCGTTGACAGGGTCAGCCCGCTTTTGGGTTGCCAAAGTGGGAAGAAGTCCAAAGGCCGCTCGCTCTGGGAGGGGCTTTATCATCCCCCACGCCACCCCCGGTTACGTTTTGTTTAAAATGAGAGCTCGTCCGAATAGTTCTTTCGGGTCCTGTCCCGTGAGAGTCTCAGTTCTTCCTTGTATTTTTCGCCCGTGGAGCTCTCGCCCGAGCCGCGAAGGGCGCTGAGGAGAGCAGTGGGATGTTCTAAAACTTCCTTCAGCGTGATTTGACTCGAGGTCCCTCTGAAGAAACGGGGAGGTTGGGATGGCTTGGTCTCGGTCGTGGACCTCCCCCCCCCCTCGCAATACTTCTGGGACCTCCCGGCACCTGCTCGGGAGGGATGGATTCTGTTGCAACTTGGTTGTTTACTAGGCATTCCACCCTTTGGTGGTTGCTAGTGAGAGAGTTGGCTTTAAATATTATATGCTGTCGATCATGTGTACTGAGTCACACTCATTGCCTCTGAGGCTTTTGGGAAGCCACTGGATACTGTAACTCTTGTTTTGTTTACCTTCATGTGCGTGAGTTGTCTGATGGGCAGTGTGCTCTGCCTTGGTAGCATCACTTCTGTATTTAAAGGGGGAATTCAGTGCAATAATGCTTTGGTTATGTTGTAAAATAGCCCATTTACCATTGTTGTGTTCAAGCTTTTATTTTATTTTATTTATATATATATGTATGTATGTATATATAACATTTTGCAAATGCCTCAGACAGGTGCTTTGTGTTCTTAGTTATCTACATTCATTGCTGCAGTATCTACTTCTTACTATAGTGAGGTCATACCTCTGCTGTTTTTCCTCCTCTGTCATTATTCATAGCTATAACCTGTGCCTGACTGTGTATTGCAAAACAGCTTGTCATAAACACTGGATTTTTAAGGTACAGAGGTTAAATTCTTTATCATTGCTTAAAGTGACATTGATATGATTTTGTACAGCTGAGTAGATTTTTTTTTAACAATAGGCTACATCTTTGATTTGTTCAGGTTTGGTAAAATGCATTAAGCCAGTATGAGAATTTGTGTTAATTAGTTCTGGCTTAAAACAACTCCTAAGATTCTTCTAATATTGCAACAAAGGTTTTTTAGAGGTCATTCAAGTCACTTTAGGGATGCCTGGACTACTACAGATGATACTCTCTGAGGTTTGTATGTTCCCCATGCTGGTTTTGTTTGTTTGAGAATGTATGTTATTTTTTTGTGTCTCTTCTTTTTCACTCTTATTATAATATTTTTCTGACATTTTAGTATCATTCTCAATATATTATTTAAAACTTATTATATAAGGCAATCTCTTTGTCTTAGCCATCAGCATAGAAGTTAGGATGAGCAGAATGACCAAAACATAGTCTGGATACAATTCTTGACAATGTCATAGGGTTTTATAATTGTGTACGTTTTTGTATAATCAGGAGATGCCTCTCCTCAAACTCATGGGAGGTGACATAATGGATACATACTTCTTCCTTTTATACATTCTATGATTTGAGAGGCAATATTTATCTAGCTGTTATATTCATGAAGGGATACAGTTGAACAGAAATTAGTGCCATTGAACAGTAGCAATTATTCAATTCTAGTTTTGCTGTTTAAAATACCTTATTTCTTGCAATTATAATGAAGCTTTTTCTATTTCAATCTATGAAGTTCTAATTCAAGAAATTTTGTTTCTTTTTTAATTCTTAGTTTTGAGATAATTCTGCTTATGAACTTCCAGTTGATTGGCGATTGGCAGTTTGATACCCACTGATTCTGAGGTGCCCACAATGACAATAGGTGGCATCCACTGACTTACAGAAAAAGCCAATTTTACATGATATTTGTATTCTTGTGTGAAATCTCACGAGGTCTTGACATTTATAGCATTTTAATTTATCTTATATTTTATATTTTCATTTCTCAAGTTATTTAGGGACTTGTAGAGTGGCATGAAATTATACAGTAGTATCCATCAGCTGCAAAGGTTCCTGAAACCTGTAATAAGATATTGTGGAATCCTATTACATTGAAATCACAAAGGAATAAGTAAACACCACTATTCATGATACCAGAACCAGACTTCTCAAATTATTTGTATTTATTAAATTATTAATTTTATGCCCTAAAACTCATTGGAAATGAAGTTTTTTATAGGAAAAAAACCTACTTATTCAAAGAGAAACCAAAATGGCTACAATACTGTATAAGATGAAATACAAATAAAAACAATATCTTGCTATAAATAATAAAAAGAAACATTAAAAGGAGAAATAAACAACTGTGTAATATTTTTCAACAACAGATGGCAAGGAAAAACAATCTCCACCAAAGAAAGAGAGAAAGAAAAAGAAAAGTAAACCTAATGGGCAGCTTGGAGTCCATTGCAAAAACCTCTTTATAGAGCCAAATCTTGACATCTAAAATATTTAATGTTTGGATTGTGCAGGCCTCCATAAGCAAAGCTTTTGCGTTGTTGAGGCCAGAAACAAAACAGCCTTGCACTTTGGTTAATTGCTCTTTAAGGCTTTAGAAATGGGAATGAGCACCTAAATTGAGTTTTGAGAGGCATAGGTAATTGGCGCAGGACAAATAATATTGGGATGATCACACTGCCATACTTAAAATCTATTTTAAGTGATGCAATAATAAAAGCATCCATTTCAAATATATTTTCCTGTTTGAAGTAAAACAAGCCTAAAAGCTTTGTTTTGAGAGACTGAAAGCCTAATACATTGTAGCTTCAGCAGAATTACTGTTTGTGTTTAGCCAAATCTTCCTGGTGGCAGATATTGTTGCAACTAATGAATTTGTGTTGATCAAATCCATGTATGATCATCTGTATTCAATATTTGCATTTTAAAGTACCATAATACAGCTCAGAATAGTGGTGGTGAAGATTGTGCTATTCATTTTAAGCTAGCACGTATAAAGCCTTGTTTATGGAAAGGAAGGAAGTGATAATTATTGTTCTGGTTTGCCATTCATGGTAGAATGAAACAGCTATATTGGTATGTGTTATTCCTGATGTATGTATTTGCTGTACCTGTTTAATGAGAAGAGTTATTCCAAATTAGCCCAGTCACTAGAGATACACCATAATTAAATAAGCCCATTGGGACTTGGAATTTTTCTGAATAGCAGTTATACTCACTTGTATCAAGCATCACATTTTGAGACTTTTGACTGCTTGCTCTGTGGCAGAGTATAGAAGAGAGTAAAATGATCAAAAGTTCTCATAAATTGATTTTTGTATTACTTATGGTGCCATGTTGATTACTACATACAGTTGTAATAGAAACCAAAGAATTGTCATATTAACATATGTAGCTTTAATTTTGTTTGTCAAGGTGTACAGATAATTCTGTTTTTTGCTGCATTTTATTTGCCCATTAAAAACACAGAGGGCTATTCTAATTCATATATAAAGTTAAGCGAGGATTTGTTTTATCAGTTGTGGTTTATATGAATTTCTGATTCCATTTCAAGCAATAAACCATGGTTTGTTTAGCACCAAACTACAAGTTGAAATTAGGCTTACAAATTCTGGTTTAGGGATGCTCAGAAAAATATGCATAGGCAAAATACATGCTCTATTAGGGTTCTACTATGCTTTGGATTTAAAGCATGGGTGTGCATATTGCATTTATCAGTGCCTTCTTATAGAAGGGTTCCCCCCCAGAAAAAATGTAGCTAAGCTATGTGATTGAGTTAAGGAAGTGTCAGTGGGTATAACAAATAACTTTGTAGGAGGTATAGGTGACTAGTGGCCTTAATTCAAAGATATATTTTCCTTGGATCGCATGGCATTCAGATGCAGTGTTTACTGATGCCTGCTCCTAAGGACCTTTTCAACTTCAGCTGTAAAGTACAGAATGTTACTTTAATTAATTAATAGAGCTGCCCATCTCATTACTGTGGTTCTGGGCGGCTTACAAAAGTTAAAAATCCAGAAAACAGTACAAAATCAACCAAAAAAAGCCCTGCAAAAATAATTTTAAAAACTACTAGAAATGTAAAAACATGGTCAGTGGTAGAGCGCCATTCATTTTCTTAAAAGTACAACCACTTAGCAGCATTCCACCAACATCACTGAATCCCCAGGTCAGATGACAAAGCCATGTTTTCAGGCTCTTCTAGAAGGCCAACAAGCTGCAGGCTAATCTCACCTCAAGGGGATATGTTCCAAACGGCGGACGCTGTGACAGAAAAGGCTCTTCTCCTGGGTCCCATCAGATGATGTTTCTTCCTAGAAGGGAGACGCAACATGCCCTTTCTGCTGGATCTGATGGGACATATGCATCTGCTTGTCTAAGTCCTATTAGCACTCACAACTAATATACAGCCAAAACACCCTTCCTTTGATCCCATAAATACATCCTGCCTGCATAACAATATGAAGTACATACCCCATAAAAAGATTCCAGAAATACAACCCCCATCCCAAACACAAAACAAAAAAAGAAAACATGCTATAAACATACAAAATACCCATTTCAAAAGACTCATAAAAAGAAAAATTCTTATAATAAATTGTAAATATGCTCCCATGAACACACAGACAACATCCAAGTACTGGTGAGACATTTGAGATATCAAATGAAAAGTTAAAATTCTGCCTTAGTTTATGTCTCAGTGTAGTGTATTAATGTATCACTAGTACTGTAGGTGAGAAATTTGTTTACA